ACAAGGCTTCACTTCAGTACTTTCTTTAGTAAGGATCTTACGCAACTTTAGTTCGAGTAAAATGTTTCCAGTTACATTGGGTGTTATAAAAAATATAGAATGTTCTAACCCAATGTGTTTCGAATCAATTGCAACATTATTATTAAGAATTGTTTCAGATTGTTTACCTGGAAACAATTTCCAAAATATATTGTTGCAAATGATACCAAAAACATTGGGATAGAGATAGAACTTTCTTTTTTTAAACACCCAATGTAATTGGAAACATTTCACTCGAACTAAAGTTGCGTAAGATCCTTACTAAAGAAAGTACTGAGGTGAAGCCTTGTAGCAAGATGTTATTTTATTTTACAAACAATAGCATTATGTAAAACTAGTTTTCAACCACCAGCAACAGTTTAAAAAAAATATACTTGTCAAGTGAGAAATGTATTTGGTTGAACTGAACTTAAGAAACGGTAAAGTGTATTACTCAAAAGTGGTATGGCCAATGATCACAAAAGATGGCACATAGGGCCTTGACAAAATTTAATTCTAAAAGGAGGCTACTGTTAAAAAAAATTACATCATTACTATAAGGATCTCACTTTTATAGACTTTTTATTGTTCCTGGACTTTCTGTAAAAACTTTGCTCCGTTAATAAGGGCACGCATCGCATACTGGTTTAATACCCACTCATCCGATATTGTATTACACTCAGAACTTAAAGAGTTCATGTGAAAAATATATTTAGTTTTACAGCTATTTAGTACATCTCACTCCAGTCTTTTATAAATAACTGTTCACTTCAAAAAATAATTTCAAATTGTGCACCTACAACTGATAATACAGATAAAAACCTAATAGTCTTTAACAGGTAAATATTTTTGTGAACTCACCGCACTTTAAGACTTTGATCTTGTTCATCTTGAATACTGTCCTGCACGTAATCAAAGTTTAGCTGGTTGACATCCTATAAACAGAGACAGATATAATAGGTTAAGCACAACTAAAATTTTAATATTTGGGAAACTTATAAAAAAACAAGAACTTCAAAGCAAAATATAGATAACAATGTGATTTAACCAGTACATACCTTGATAGAAAGCTGGGGAGTGTAGAATTCATTAGGTTGGGTCCACTCCTGTTTCCAACAATTTCAGTTTTATCTTCTGTCTTAGAGTATGCCCAAAATTAACACAGCACGTAATATTTGAATTTGGCTTGACCATTACAGAATGCAAGTAGTAAAAATCGAAAGAAAACTGATCTT